AACCATCGAAAACCAGTTGTCTTTGTTAGCCACGTTGTCGAGACATGTGCTGTACCAAGTACGCGAGAAGAAATAAAGTTTAGTTTTTGTTACAATCTCGTCTCGTTCGTTTCTTTCACTCGCAGTGACGAAAGTGTGAGGGACGAACAGACCCACAATAAAGTGTTATTTTAAATTTTAATTATTGGAAACTTTAATCGGTTAAATTCGAGCATTTTATCAAGTTAGGCTAAAAGCCATAAAAATTATTTCCCACGGAGTTTGTTCCTTGTTGAGTCGGATCAAGTTAATCAGGGATGTGTCACCAGGAACTTTTGATGGAGAAGACATATTGGACGTGCGACTGTTAAAGGCCATCACCTGACCTCATGGAAAAAACCCAAGAGGAATGAAAAAGAGAAAAGAATAAAAGACCCCGAAGTCAGTCGTCATCCAAAGTCCGCCCAACAAAGTCGTCCTCCAGGATAAAAATCGTGACCCAGGATTAAACCCGAGAGAAACATTCGTGCTGGATTAAGCCTCTACACTCCTCCGTGCCTCCACACCAGTGAACGGACAAGATTCTGATTCAAGATTCAATGGTAAAGAACTGTCCATCGACAAGGTATTTATCAACTCGCGATTCGTTTGTAAACTCTCTCTCTCTCAACGGCCTAGTATAGTTAAGAACAATAATATGCCCGATAGTATTTAGTATCTCTGTATAGTATTTAGTTCGACTTAATTAAAATTGTTATTTATTTGTTACTATGGAGTCCTCGTCTCTCTCCTCACCTCTACTCCGCATCCAAGCGCTCACAAGTTACCGCTCGCGAATCTCGTGACATATAGTCGCGATTTCCGAGTCCCCTAGAGACTCGGTGGTGTCATCCTGACAGGGCGCCAAAGAGGTGCCAACCCTACGGTCATAAAGGCAACAACAACGCAACCCACAGTATCAATATAGTAACAAGACATCCTTAGTCTCACTTGGAAAGTTAGAGAGTAGATAAAGTTTATGTCAACTTCCTCCCAAAAATTTGCAAAGTTAGGCTTAACAAATATTAAACTTTATAAAATACAACCACTCATAAAACTGGGTAAACCTGATACAAAGATACAAAAAAACTAAATAACCAGCAACAAAAATTTGGGAAGTGCTAACATTTTTGCCTATTTTGTAGCTTTGTATTAAACTTTTTACAAAACTTTTATAAATTATTTTAAAAAAAAATAGCTCTGGATCCTCACAGAAACTTCTCATAGGGTCTATAATCTGTCTGTAAAAGTGGTTCCAAAGAAGCAATTTGAAATTTTTTATTCTCCACTGGTCTTCCTGATAATAGCTGATCAGGTGTGTAATCATGGTCGTTTCAGAACTGTTCCAGTCATCTTGTGATGGTACAATAAGACATTTCTTGATTTGCATACTCTCCATGAATTTTTAAAAAATAATCTGACATTTTTACTACCAAGAACCTGGATTTTTATCCAACTTCTTTGATCTCTTCGTAGACTGCATTTCGTAACAAGGATACACATGAATTAATGTTTTTGCTTTACTTTTAAGGTTGTGTTTTAGTATTTTTTTATTTTATTTTCATCTATGTATTTATTGATGTATCTTATCATTTTTTATTTGTTTTATTTTATCTTATTTTATGCCCACTTATAATGGTAACCCGACAGCACGAGATTGCGCACTAAAAGTTTTAAAAAAAAACAATCCAAAACACATTTATCGTTAATACAAATCAGTCAGCATTTGATTTTCGTTCATTCTTGATAAAGGTCATTAAAGATGACCAAAAACGTTTGAAATTGATAATAAATTTGGCTGCAGTTTATAAGGTTTTTAAGTAGTGTATCCAACTTCTTTGTTCTAATCTTGTAGTTTTCTTTGCTTTAAGAAAATGTTTACAAAGTTTATTGTTGCTGTTATGGAAACAAAAGAATGATGTCACAAGCAATTGTGATATTGATGTCTATTAGCTCTTCCAATAACTGCAATGAATATGTTATTTCAGCAAGAATTAAAATGTTGCCATGACTTAATTGATTGTGATTGTAATACTGTGATTTCATGTGGATAATCATAGGTTATCTGTATTTGAAGATAATTTGAAAGGGTTATGAAATAGGACAAGTTATATGCCAATTTAAATTTCAGTCATGAGTTAAAAGTTGATTCACACTAAAATTATTTTGTATTTAATTCTTTTTTAGTTTATTCTATTATTACTGGATAAATAAAATTACTCATAAAATAAAAATGATAAACTTTATTTAATTTTTACACATAATTTACATAATTAGGACAAATATTAAAATTTACAGCTTTTCACTTTCCAGAAATTTACAGATTAAAATTCAGAGACCTTGATATAGAATTCTGCTTAACCTGCTGCAGGCCACTGAAAGTAGCCAAAAAAATTAGTTTTTAATTAGTGAATTGCTGGAAAGTGAGAGGAAGGTGTGAATTTTAGTATTTAGAAGCTAGTTCCAACTTTACAATTAACAAATAATTAAGACAATTCATAAATGCCTACAACTGAATTACAGGGATGAATTTCTCAGTATTCAGAGAGATTTCTTAGTAGCCACTTTCCTATTAAGGCTATGTATATTACACATATGGCATCTTCACTTTTAACTTTCTGTACCCATACAAGCATGTATTAACATGCTTGTATGGGTACAGAAAGTTAAAACTGACTGAACCTAAAACAGCTGTCCTCTTTTTCGTGTTACATAACATACAATACTTATGTGTAGAGTTGCCACATATCCTATTTTTGGTAGGACAGCCCTACAATTACAATAGATGTTCTATGTCCTACATGAAAGCTTAATTGTCCTACTTTACATTTGTAGACAAAAAAACTATGTTCAAATATTAAGTTATTTTAAAAAATTAAAAAGAGACACAAAGAACATTCAATTAATTTGTGAATGCACATATAAGATTTTGTGAATACAATAAAATCTTCNCGCCTTAGTGGTAAAGAAAATTAAAGGGTATAAATTAGGGGCAACTAAGGGGGCGCCATAATAGGATTTCGCTCCATCCTAAAACTTGCCTCGGGCCGGCACTGCGAGGGATCCCACAATCCCACGCGCGCGAGAAAATACAAGATGGCTGCGGAACACGTGTCCGGCTATCAATAGCGAAATAAAAAAGATATTGTATTTCGAGAAACAATGACATCTGTCTCTTATTATAATAATACCTAATGATAAAATAAACGATTTAAAAAGTTTTTTCTTGAGAAAAAGTCATAGGGAAAGCAATTAACTCCTTGGGACTCTAGCAATTTTTGATATTAATGTAATTAAACATAAAAAATACTTAAAACTGAAAAAACGAAANAAAACAGTACCTTAGTTATTGATTTGTGTGCAATTCTAGATTTTAAGCAACAACTTATAACTAGAATTCAAAATAAATTTTTCAGGTATTTATTTATTTATTTAGTACAATTGGAAACGTCAGAGACGATTGTATTCCACCCCCCCAATAACAAGAAATAAATGATCCCCAATAAAATAACTACAAAATATAAAGGATATAAAACACATAATAAAAATTATAAACAAAGTAAAACAACAGTTACATTATATATTATATAAAATAGATTTACATTTATTTTTGAAAAAATTAAAATCATGATATAGGTATGGTTCCACAGGCTGTATGTGAGATGCTATAAGGTAAAAAAAAAAGATCTTTGTATGAAGTTATGGAAAAGATAAAAGATTTATTTCTTTAAGAAAAGCAAATTTGAAAACAAAATTTTAAATATTTATAAGGCTTTCTTATGTAAAAAAAGAATTTGATTTTAATGAAAAATCTAAAGTTAATTTTGATATATTTTGTATAAATTAAAGTTGGATAAATTAAGGTGACAGTTAACAATTTAACTGTCACCTTAATTTATCCAAAATATATCAAAATTTTATTAATGCACTTAATTTTCTTTTAATAATCCCTTTTACTTTCCCAGAGGACATAAACAAATTGTGAAATTTTTGCAAAACCCCAAACCCAAAAAGTCAAAACAACAGGAAACAATTCTGTGAATATATATTGTTGGCATCTATTTTGTTTAATATTTCAGGATGGGGTAAAGATTAAAAAAAAAAAAATTTGACATGATAACCTGTGTATAAGGGGCACTTATGCTATTTTGTTGGTTAAAGGTTGAGGTAGGGTGATAGAGTGTCATATCTTACAATTGGACTTAATAATTTTTCTTGTTAGCATTTAGTTTTATATAAAACTCGTTACTACCCTAAAAATTAAGCATTTTGCCAATTTATAATAATTAATATAAAATTTTTATAACAAAATCTCATAACAGTTGGTGCCATAAATAATTTTATTTATAACACTAAATGTCTTCTAGCTACTAACTCTGTCTTGAGTAATAAATCGTCACACACAAAACCTTTTTTTTTTTTAACAGTGCTGTTTTTTTAACACACAAACTTTGCACATATCCCGTGCATGCATGGAGATACCTGTTTGAGGTATTCGCCTGTCTCTGTTCGAGGAATTCGAACAGAGACAGGCGGAGGAGTGAAACAGGATATGTGCAATGTTTATAACTCTGACAACATTGTTCTAATGGTCCAGAGGGAATGCCATTCAGTTCAGCACCTGAAGAAGGTCTTGGTGGAGGCTGAAAACATTAGTGTGTTTTGTGTCGAATACAACACTGTTAAAAAAAGGTTTTGTGTGTGACAATAACTTTATTTATTATGATTACAATATAAATGTTATCTTTAAAATAAAATCTCATAACAGATGAGAAATTACACAACTCATTAGATTTTTTTAGTTGTTGATTTGTTCTATATTCAGCATCCCAACATGTGGCAACCCAACTTACATGTATGTATTAGTAAAAGTACAAAAAGCACAATAACATTGATAAAGAAGTAGGGTGCCACAATAAAAAAAAAACCTATGGGGATGCCACCATAGAAAAAGGTTGAAAAACACAGTTACACTATCAAGATATAAGATTTATTTTTGCTTGAAAATTACAAATGCAATATATGTTAAAACAAAGAAAATGTATAACCTGAAGATTTAATAATTACAGCTTATTATTATTATCATTAATACTGATAGTAGTAGAATTGTTTGTCTGCTATATTTTATTTTAATATTTTTTGCATTATCTCTTTAATATAGGCAGGACATAATTGAAGTAAAGAAATCTCAGTAATTTAAGCTACTTTGTAACTTATTGCAAGAAATTAGATTAAAACATTTAACATTTATCATTTAGAGCATGGTTAAAAAGTAATGAAAAGTGATAATTGCATGTTATTAGCCATATATTCAGACTCTGTAAAAAGCTGGCTTAAATTTGCCTATTTTACTTAAAGTCAATATTAACTAAAATTAAAATGCTTATTACAACAAAATTTTATAAGTGTATTTTAACTTATATATTTTGGGCATGCTAATTCTGCTAATATTGATACTAAAAGGGTTCTATTATATTCTTATTGTATCACGAGCAGTTTGAGCAGTAATATGTCACAAATGAAAGATTATAAGTCATTTGTTGTTCATAAAAGAAAAAAATATGATGAAAAGTACATATAATAAAGTGTAATAAAGAAATTAAACTAAACTAAACTAAAAAGCAAAAATAAAATAATAATAAAATAACTTACTGAAATATAAATGTCTTAAAATAATCAAACACCTTAGTATTTCCAGCAACAAAGTATTTAATAAAAAATATAACGTTTTTGACTATTTTTAATAGTATTCTTCAGTTAAGCCACTAAAAATAGTTGAAAACGTTAGTTGAAAACGTTATTATATTTTTTATTAAATACTTTGTTGCTGGAAATACTAAAATGTTTGATTATTTTAAAATAATAATAAAATAAAATTAGTTCACATTTAACGGATAACTTTGGTAAATTGGAGTCGCTCATTAAAATATATAGATAACATGAAAAGTACTGTACAATCTGTAGCAATATTTTCAACGCAGGACCTGCATTGAAGAAAACTAAATAGAAATTCTGTTCTCTTCAATGCAGTTTTTGCACATAGGTGTTATATGTGACAAACATAAAAATTTTTCACATTTCTTACATTTATACTTTGTATATCGATTTTTTGCCCTTCCACAATCTGCACATCTTTTTCTTTTATTCTCTGTTTCTACTGAAGTTTTAGGTGAGCTGGGTGATGGACATATCCTTTTGGCGCTTTCTCTTATATCTTTTGGAAGGCAGCACATATGTTTTCTTCTCTCAATCTGTTCGAACATTAGTTCCAGTCCTAACTGCTTTAAGAAACCTTTCCTGCTTATATCATTTGTTGTATTCTTATTACTGTGGTGTATAATGTGTGCATTAACACCAGCAATATTTAAAAGACAATAAAAAATAACCATTGTCCATCTTTTTGTGTTTCTTTGAACGTTATAATTTGAAGTTAACTGATCTAATATATCTACTCCTCCTTTGGTCAAATTATAAAACGTAAGTATTTCAGGTTTTTTACGACTACCTGTAGTATCGTCAATAGTGTCATTACGATGAAAAGAGGACAAAAGCAAGACATTCTTGTTTTTTTTCGGTACATAAGAGACTAGGGTGAAATCTTTTGAAAATCCGAATAGGCTACTATAGACTTTTCTACTCCTTACATCTGTAAATCGAAGAGGAAGTTCTCGTTTGTTTTTTCTTATTGTTCCTACCATTGTAATTCTGTCCTGTAACAAATCTGAGACTAAGCTACAACTGGTAAACCAATTATCAACTGTCAGATTCCTCCATGACTTTGCTATAGGTTTTACTAATCGTTTTACAATTTGATCTGGTGAATTTGAAACAGAATACTCGCCCTCTGGTTGTTTTCCACAGTAGATTTCTAAATTATAAGTGTAATACATTCGTGCGTCCACTAGTATATAAATTTTAATGCCATGTCTGTTAGGTTTCTTCGGCATATGTTGTCGAAATCCGCATCGCCCCCTAAATCCTTCTAGTTTTTCATCTATCGTACAGTATTCCGACATAGAATAATTTTGCTGGCAAGAATTTACAAATATGTCCACCATATCCCTCACTGCAGCCAACTTGTCAGTTTTAATGCGCTCCTTTCTTGAATTTTTATCATCAAATCGTAAACTGTGTAGTAAAAATTTAAATCTTTTGTCACTCATTATGGTTCTAGCAATTTCAAGGCCAGTTCCATCCGCTGTCCACAATTCATCGGGATTGCAGCGATTTAGTTTTTTGCAACCTGCTACGTATAAAATTCCGATAAGTGCTTTTATTTCAATTAAATCGGTTAGGTTTGCATCTCTTTCTCTTCCATAATTTGGTTGTATTTTTTTTATTTGTTCGTTTGTAAATTTTACTAACATTTCTAAAATATCCTTTCCTATAAATAAATTCCAACAATCCATAATGGATGTTACTTTAGTGGCATCACCTATGGGTCCAGGAAGATGCATTGCTATGTTATGCCGCTTTTTTTTTCTTAGTTGCGTTATTGGAAATTTATTCCAGCGAGTCTTAGAATCACGCCCTATATAAAATGTGCTCTCACCTTGTTCAGAAGTTGAAGCATTTTTGTTTTGTTTTGCATCAAGCTCTTCTTCCTGTTCTGTATCTGTGTCTTCCTCTCTTGTTTCACAGATATCATATTCATCTTCAGATGATTCGTCATCATATGAAATTCTTTCCGTATCCTCCTCGTCTGAAAGTAAAAAGCGTGCGTGCTCCATATTGATCAGTTGATACAACGCTGTTTGAATACTCACTGGACTGAGGGAACCGTGTTTCAAATATAACGTCGTTCAGTTGCTTTATACGTCTAAAAAAAACATATATTTGAAATAGTTACATAAATGTTGAAAATTTCCGATGTGACGAGAGGAAGGCGTTGAGCGTAACTTCTGATAGGTTGGCGAAAAGAAATGATTCGTTTAAATTCGTTTAAATCTGTACTAGCCCGGACATGCACTTACAGCAGAGAGAGCTAGATAACGTCGCACCATCTAGTGGGGATGAGGGACGTAAATCTGGTTTCTTTTTCTTTGAACTCGGATAACTTTTCCGTAGTTCAACCGAAATTCACCAAACTCTGGAAAAATAAGAAGCAACTATATGGCTTTATATTCCACAAATTAGCACCCAAATATAAACATCTATCGAAACACGATGCTTAGTAAATAGACACCCACGAATGCCGTAAATGTGAGGCTCTGGACAGGTCCGAACCCTCACTAAAATTCGCGTTAAAATAATTGTTTTAAAGAAAATAATACAGTAGTTAGAAATAGATTTTTATTTTATGAAAACGCGACGCTAACTTTTAAACAATAGAAGAATGTAAGTCCGTCGATCATTTCCGGTGGGAGATCGAATTAAACTTCGATTTTGACCTCTCCCGCGCTCCCGAAGTGTTTCGAATTGTTATCAGGTGACGAGGTGAGACCAATCGGAAAGGAGAATCTGAGAGAAAACTGATAAAACCCCGGAAATTCAAGGACGCGACGGCTTCTTCTCCCGAAAGTTCCAAGTGACGGATCTGTTGTTGTTGTGTGTGTGTCTCGCACCCATCTTCGACGCCATCTCCCGACCTCGGATCGACATCTTTCCATCAACGGAAGTCGACCGCATCGTCCTGGAGTCGTAGAGACGTGATGGAATGGTTCATTCGCGAACAAGGGACACTACTTCAAAAAGGGACTATCTTGGAAAGGAGAGGAAGACCCAGAGGCCGCAGCAGCCGCAGAACTACCAAGATCGCGGAAATCTTGTAAGCTTCTTTCGTGTTTAATAAACGGTTGTGTTGTTTGTAAACGAAGCATCTATCTCTGATTCAACTGCTCCCACATGTCGTTGATTGTTACCGCTCGACAATCCAAACGGCAAGGGAGACGATGACGATATATATCGCCTATTATCGTTCATTGAGTTTTTTTAAATTTCTCCCCCCCCCTTCTGCCTCCACATAAATAATCGGGCTACAGCGGGTTCAAGTTCCGCTTCGGACCGATTCTTTTTCTTCCCATTTATTCCAAATTAAATACAGTCGACCCCCCTATAAGATCATAGATACGTTCCATTTTTTAGGAATCCGATTTCTTACGAGTCGTTCCAATCACAGCCCGACACGTGTAAAGTTTACGGACTACGGCTGATTGAAAGGTTTTCTTCCATAAAATTAATCGATTCTAGACTAATCCGACTCAACATTTCCAAAATACGTATATATTTTTTGGAAATAATCCGTATAAACTACGCTATAAACAAAAAATTGTAGGATTACTTACAGAGTGTGCAGCATTCGATATCGCCGTTGTTCAAGCTTGTTTTCGTCGCGGAACAGCTCAGCAAACCGCGGCCGCGATTTCTGATGTTACTTTTCTGCGAAAACTTCGTTGAACTTTGGAGACATCATTAATATAAATAATTTTAATCGCCGTTGAATAAGAAATGTTTCTTTCACAAGAAATGTATAAAATTACAGTACTGCATTAAACTTACGGTACCTAATTTACATACTGTACAGACGATAGTTAGCATAAAAATCTCCGTAGCGTGGCGCCACGCTAGACGGCGGAAATTATATATTTAATTATAACAAAGTTACAATAAGTTAATATATAATTATATATACAGTACCTAATTTATATATAATTTATATAATACTATCCAGACGATAGAAATCTCTCCGTAGTGTGGCGCTACGGACGGCGGGAAAGTAGTTCGGCTGCCCGATGACGTTTAACGTAATTACAGGGGGTTTTTTACTGTTTTTTACGGATACCGTCACAATTTTTTTGCAGTTTTATAGGAATCGTAATTATTGAGACCGTAATTATAGGGGGGTCGACTGTAATTAAATATTATAATTATTAAATTCAATACGAGATGGCGCCTAACGCCTCCCTCTAGTGCCAAATTTATTTGTAATTCATAATTAATATTTCCAAATTATAGCCCGATTATTTACGGCAATCGTGAGTGTCTATCAGCACCCAAAAATGACAAAATACTTTTTGTTATTAAGCGTAAAAGAGGCGAAAGTAGACATTTTCATTTTTTGAATATATCTTTTCTATCTTTTCTCAGCGTCAATTATATTTTCCAGAAAGTAATTTATGCACATTCCAGAATTCTACTGAGCTTTTTGACACCAAAGTCATCAAAATCTAACGTGGGTATTTTATTTCTAAATTCAGACACAAAAGAGCAAAAGTTATGCCACATAGCCTGTGCTCGCTTACTGCTTGTCCTGGCTAATTAATTAACAAAAATAGCATTCTGTGTAAGTAGCCGTACTCCGTTTGCTTAATAAATTACATCAGTTACGTGACACTTTGAATATTTCGTCCCTGAATTTCGAACTAACGAGGATTATTTCCTGTATATATCTCGAGTACTAAATAATTTATCCACGTCCACCGTAATTTCTGGTATGTTAAGCTGAGGTGGCATGTAACCCATGACGGTGTCTACCCCACGGAAAACTTGACGAGCGGACAGGTCAATGAGGCAGCCTACCGCTTCTGGAAACCCGGGATCGAATCCGGACGGGTCGAAAAATCCCCAGGATTTTTTTGGAGGGTGGTCCTTTCAGATATGTCGGGCCCTGTCCCTCACCATCCGCTAGCCCCATTGTGGGCCTGGCCGAACCCATAATGGGCTTGCAAAAAGAGGCCTCTTAGTGCCCACAGGGCGGAAAGAGTAAAAAAAAAAAAGAAAACCTGTCCTAAAATTGAGGGTGTGAAGGGTAATTGTGAGAAGTTTGGAAAAAATTAAAATACAGTAGCCCCTCCGTTATATCGCGCTTCTTTTGGGTCCCCAAAATTTAAAAGCACTTGAATCAATAAATTTTAAATTTACCGATTGCCATTGAATTCCTTTTTGCAACGAAATACGATATTTTCTTCCTACCATTGTCCTTGAAACTATTGAAACTAACAATACAGGTGAAACAATAAATTTGTCAATAAGCAAACCAGATGGTCAGATCAATTATCATTTGTATTTCCTTTTGATGTTAAAATGTTGTTTATTTATTTGTTTTAAGTATCATGTCTTCATTTACAAGTTTCTATGAATTCGAAATTTCACACCATTATATAAATTGATGGTATTGCGTCAATTCACATAAAGGTATGAAATTTCAAATTCACCGAGTAATGTGTAAGAAAAGATTTCTGTATTTCTGAACGGAAAGTTCTAAAATTTCATACAGTAGTAACTTTATTTTGTTTTTAGAAAATTTTTACTCTGTAATTTTATGAGTTTTGATGTTCTATGTTCCAATATTCATTTCTTAAATTTTCAATTACTGTTTTTTTAAGTTTTATTGAAAAATTTAAATTACACGAATTTTTAATGAGTGATTTATTATGAAATATAGCACTGTATAATAAAATCTCAACTGATATTTTGTTTTTATAGCGATAATATTTGTCTTTAAATGTCATTGTTAAAGAAACAATAATGCTAAATGGGTGTTAGTGATATTGGTGTTTATGTAAACATCAATTAATACTATATAACCACGAATAAAATTCAGTATTAAAAAACTAAATTTATTTTATATCAGAAACACTTGCTGATGAGAGAATAGAGATTCCGTAGCATGTATAATCTGTTTAGTAAAAATCCAAAATTTTTAGTACTCGGTTATATCGCGCTCTTTCTTTGTGTCCCCACAAAGGCGATATAACGAGGGGCTACTGTATTTTAAAACCAAACTTTATGGGTGTTAGATTATTAAGAGGGTAACCATTAAGAGCTCTCAAATTTATAATTTTTGCCTAACTAACAGTGTTTTTACCGATGCGGCAAAATGTTTTAAAATTTAAATATGCCGATTATATACAGTGACTCGGGTCCGATCTACTTTCTTGCGTTTTGTGACGACTTGTTGTTTCACATCACTTTTATAATAACGTTGGCATTGACTAACGTTAATGTCAAATAATAACGGTGAATTAATGGATAAATTCTTTCTTGTGCCAAAATGTTCACAAAAATTTCGTTAGTCTACGTTTAAGCAAACGCAGAGGGAAAATCGTGAGGGCAAATTCTGATTCTAAAAGTGCTCTTTTGCTTGTTTTTCCCTCTTTTCGCGTCTGCATAAGCGCAGACTAAGCCGCTATCTTACATCAACATTAACTAATAATTACAATAATTTTTTTTATCGAATTTAATAAAAATTAACAAAATTGAAACTAAAATTACATTATATTTTTGTTTTATTTTTAAACTCTGTAATGCAAGAATCATTTTTGTATTAAATTTAAAATATTAAATAACTTTCAATTCGAGTGCGCATTAGCAAAGACATCACTCCTATACTCACTAGTTTGGTGATAATCCGATTGCAGATGTTTATCAATTGTCCCAATTATATAAATTAAGTGTAAAAATACATAAATACAATTTAAGGTTCAAAATGTTGTAATCTTTCAAACTGGATTTCGTTAGGAGATGAGTTGTCATTTCTCGCAAACATGTAAATAAATAATTGTTGATCGGTTGATTGCTTGCCACTGGCCAGTCGTATAGTGTGAATCAGCTTTAATTCTGCCACTGGAATTTAAAATCGGCATGTCACCTTCCCATCGCATAACTTGCATCCCTTTCAAACAGAGATAAACGCGGGTTTATCCGAATGAAATTATGGTAATTGAAAAAATGTTTATGTTTTAGGTATATTGTATATTAGATTAAAGTAAATAATCAAAAGTCAATATAAAGTTAATCAAAAATATTGTCCAATTATATAGCTACTCAAAAAAAGATACTTTATAACTAATTATAGTAATAAAAATATATATCATCAACAAACAATTTATTTTTTAAACATAAAATATTTATAGTCTTTATGAAAACTTATAATGTTTATCAACCACAGAAACCTTGAAAAATCATCAAACAAAGGTTAAATGTTAATTAAAACCGAAAATGTTAGTGTCAATGAACTTTCGTTTATCGGTTTTTAAAGGTTTTTGTGGATTAATAAATAACTTTATATCAATAACAATACTTTTTAGAATGTTCAATCATATTTAGAAGTTTTTGATACTCTCATATTTAATTATTATATGTGGGTATTATATATATATATATATATATGCTTATATACAAATATGTAAAGTTAAAATTAATACATACACATGAGGTGGAAGTTCAAACATACTATTCTTCTGATAAGCTTGAATTATATCTGATGCGTAAAGGGCTAGTTTTTTATATGGATTCACTGAAACCACTGCATTAGATATATATGTCTGAAAAAAATATTTGTATTTATCAGTAAAAATTATTAATTATAAAAAATTTATTTACTTACATCTTAAAAACGATAAAACTTTTTATAAAATAAATATTACTCGGAAGTGATTCAAAAATTACTCATAATCATTATTTCTTTTGGAAAGTATTTGAAAATGGTTCATTTTTAATGGTTTTTTTCTTCAACTCTTTTCTCCTTGTAGACACTAAGAGGGCCTCTTTTAGCCGGGGCACGATATATCTGGTCGGACTATCTCCCAAAAACTCCTGGGATTTTTGTATCCGTCCGAATTCGATCTCGTGTCTCCCAGAGCAGTAGGTAGCTCAATTTAGCCGCTCGGCCATCCGGTTTAATAAAGGGTATTCGGTGCCGGGGCTGATTAAGCATGCCCACTCACTTTTCTACTGATAAAAATCAAAGAAGTTTAAAATGTAGACCAGAAACACGTGTGTAAGTTTTCATATATAACATAAACAAGTTATGTATTTATGTAGGTTTCCTGTGGAAAAAATACAGGGATTATTTCAGACTTAATAGAGAACTAATTTAATCACTTTTAAGCCAATGCTGGTCTCCACTAAAAATTTCTTCCGTAGCCTTTGAAACAATTTGTTTTCTTAGTTTTGTACTTAATGGTCCAGGAAGAACCCAGGAAGAAAAAGTAAATTCATTTTATTATTAGGCTAAAAACCAGAGCCTCGGGATTTTAAAGACTTATAATTCTTTTTTTTTTTTACTCTTTTCGGCCTGTGAACACTAAGGAATTTTTAATCATACCCATATGGGTTCAACAAGGCTCACATGGAACAGCAAAGTACGGGACCGACATATCCAGTCCAGATCATCCTCAAAAATATCTTGGAGTATTTCGACCGCCTAAATTCGATTCCAGAGTGGTAGGCCGACGCATTAATTGCCTCATGAAACTCATAATTTTTGAATTGCACGTGTTTTATGCTTCCTATTTTTTTACTTTCAATACTTTTAATTCATAATTTCTAGTTTCATAGTCAGAAAAAATTGTGAAATCCCGGTGGCGACCTCTGTCACTACCGCGAGAAAAGGATCATATTGCGCCGGAACCGCATAACTTTTCCAACAACGAGCAGACACTCGAGAAGTTGGGTAAAAATGAACTAGTCGTCCAGTAATTGGACACACTAAAGTAAATAATAATGAGTTTGGGATCAATGACAAAGAGTTTGGGGTCTCTAAGAATATGCAGATTCTCTGACGATTGTGAAAAAAAATGAGTTACAAAAGTCAGAAACGAATGGAAAACTAGCAGTTTTCCGTGTACTAAAGAATAGTACAGTACGGTAAAAAAATAGATTATCTGACTCCATCGATTCTTTTTAGAATATTTTTATTGAAATGAGTTACAATTTCTTAGGATGGAGCGTGCAGGATTTCGGCCTGAAAATGGTGACGTGATTTGGGAGGAGGGAATTTATATTCATATTAAAACCCAGAAAAGAATTAGAAGCTTACCGAGCGAGTAGACGGACAGATCGGAAGATATTGGACTGAGAACCAAATGAGAAGCAGTATCTGAGAGTCAAGACTCGATTAACGATACCTCAAAAAGATGACATCGGACTGCAAGGGATGTGGAACTAACAGGCAATGTAACTAACAGATAGCATCAGTTATTTGGAAGGAACCTTATGTAACTGTAATCTTATTTCGTCCACTAGTACGTATCTATTAACAGGACTTATTAAACTGGCTTTAAGGATATTGCAACTCAGTTTCATAGATTATAAAATTATTGTTTTATTTAATTTACCTGTATATTAAATAAAAGGTAAATTAAATAAAGCAATAATTTTATAATCTGTGAAACTGAGTTGCGGTATTATTAAAGCCAGTTTAATAAGTCCTGTTAATAGATACGTACTAGTGGTCGAAATAAGATTACAATAAATTAAGGACACTGAGGCATATTAATTTAACCTATGTAACTTTTTCTGTACGAATTAAAAACTGAGTATCCACGCTGAGTAACTATGTCAATAAATGAATCTTTTTTTCTTTTTTGGTAACCCGTTGTGCTTAGTCATTTTAGTTATTCACACCATCATCAAATGAAAATTGAAATGAGGAAGCGCTGAACGGCCACCACTAGGATCGTTGGACATTGTCACGAGACGACGGAATGTACAGACACAGAAACCTCACAAAATCTAGAAAAAATGTCTTGATAAATAATTTTTATTATAATTCATTTAATTCAATAAACTGTTTATGTTGTGCTTCTTAAAAATTTTAAACTTTGTTTTCAAAAATACCACAAACGTCATTGCAAATTGTTTCATTGCATACCGGTTCTGTTCTTGAAATTCTTCACACTTATAGAAGAAGATATGCACTTATGAAAATAATTTTATACATGGTGCATAAAATTTTTCTTATAACTAAGTAGAAATTTTTAGCTGTAAATCCTAATTTTAAATATCGTTGTGTTGTTAACCGTTGCTAATTTATAATAGTGTATGCAATACAAACAAAAACATGATATGCAAAAACTATTAAGCCCTATAAAGATGCTGCAAAGATACAATTAAAGTAATATTTATTAGTAGTTTATAGATAATAGTTTGTTTACAGAGAAACAAACATGATGTGTAGAATTCAATCCAATTTAAGATGATGGCCAGTGGCTGAGATGTTATGGTGTTAGCCTGATGCTCTGAGTGACTCGTAGAATCGTAGTGCTCTGCTTGCTCCTTCCTGTTCGACTGGTCAGAATAGATCAGTGAAGTATTCTACTATTCTATTCACGTCGCTGAGAATAACTGCACTATGGCTGGAAAGCTGAGTAGTAACTGCTTTAAATATGGCGGCGCCCAATAGCGAATATTTGTGGGAGAATATAAAAGCTTTTATGATGCTATTATTAGATTTTTCTTGATTCATCTGAAGTATTATTGATTTATTGCAATACCAGTTGCAATAGCATAAAAGATCAAATTTTAATTAGTGGATCAATAAACAGATGATGAGATAATCGGGCACATTACTGTACTATAGTATAAGAGAAAACGAATTTAATTTGAATTGTAACCGAAGTTATTACTTGCACTATGTTGTTGAGATCTCTCACCTACTCTGATTTCTATCTTTGGGAGTAATGACATCATTACTGTACTCCTGCTGATCAGTAGAGTAAACAGCCAAATTCGCCAATAGGTAAATATTATATAAACGGTTTTTACATCAAAATACATAAAATTGTTTCTGATGATGGCTGAAACAAATGATGTGTTGCTCTTACAATACAGTTTTGCAGAGTTTATTAACTTCACTGGGTGTTTTATTTGCTGTTCTGCCAATGTTATCAACGTATTTGCTTATGCGTTACGTGAAATCAATATTAATAAATCTGTCAACGTTTGCAACTTTGTGAAATTGTTATTTAGTTTCGCATGTTTTTGAACTGTAATAGTGTACGTATAGTAGATAAATTTATTTTGAAATGTAGGTTTTAGTAGTCATTTCAAGACTATGACCAAATAAAATATAAATCTGTCAATGGATGGAGGTTTTAATATTTTTCAAACATTTGTGAGATATAGAAAATTATAAAAAAATTAATATCAAACATCTATTTCCTAACTTTAAAATCTTTCGTGCACAGGTCTGAAATTTTGCTTATCAAAAATGCTGCATGAACACATTGGTGAATTTCTTTATTGTTCATGCAGCATGTTTGCTTAATTAGCAAGTGAGAAGAGCTTCCTGATTAAGAAAAAACTTTTATGATTCGGTAATTATAAAAATTTAAATAAGGCCCACTTCTATTTTTATTTTAATATTAAAATTTTTGGTTTGAAGTTATGTAGTGTTTATTTTTAAAAAATACAGCAACGAGTTGCGTAACTNAAAATCTTGAGAAGTGAGCTCATTTATCGATAGTTTTATGTTAAATGTAGTTTACTGCCACAGTACAAGACTTGATAATCTTATGTTTAAATAAATCTTTGTTGCTTTAGAGTTAACTTATTTGTACTACAGTGAATCACTTCTCTCTTATTCTTCCTCCATTTGCTTACCCTCGAGTCCCCATAAGCTTGTAACGTTCTGTCTAAAACAGTTTAAAACTCGCAGGTTGGAGGAATGACGTGCACGTCTAACGTCATTACCGACAAAAACGTCAAGAAACGATTAAAATACCCGCATGCGTGTCTAGTAGCCTATCAATTCTGGCAACCAGTTGAAAGTAAACTAGATAAACATTTCGTGTCGGTAAAATATTGGAAAAATGATAGAAAAAGATGGAAAAAGAGCCACGAGAGTTATGTATTTTCTTGGTTGTATGAATTTTTACTATTACGCGAAAAATAAAATTGTGTGTGTGGAGTAATGTATTATCAGAATGATGTTATTAATTATGAAATGGCAAAAATTTTTGGTTTGAAGTTATGTAGTGTTTATTTTTAAAAAATACAGCAACGAGTTGCGTAACTTTCCCGGCTGTTATGAGATTTTTAATCATAATAAATAAAATTGTGTGTGTGGCACAATCTGTTATGAGAATGATGTTATTAATTATGAAATGGCAAAAAGGTTAATATTGAGGATAGGGATGAGTTTTATTAAAAAAATTGCAAATGTCAATAACGAATATCTTCATTGAGTTTGACTCCTTTCGAGATGACCCATCTTTATCTCCTCAACTCGACCTTTAACCATCAAAATTTAATAGCATCAATGTCCCTTACATACAAGTTGTCGTGCCAAATTTTGTTTCTTAATCTTTACCCCATCCTGGGATATTAAACAAAATAGACGCCAACAAACACATTTCGAGTGTCAGCTTTTTGACTTTTTTGGTTCAGAGATGTCAAAACATCATGATTCCAAAAAACCTGGAAGGTAAAATGTGATACGATTACAGTATTATATTAAAACATTCAGGAAAGTAACAAGAAAGTAAAAAATTGAGATGATTACAATAATTTCCCATGTTATAACAGCCGGAAAAGTAAAAGATTCCGATATTATCCAGTGAGGAAAGCACCATGCCTTACATATATCTTTTATTTTATCTTTCATCCCTGTTCATGAAATATTAAAGATAAAATCAAAGTTTCGAATTAATTATTATATGTAATTCTTTAGAAACTTTGATAAAATAAATTATATATTTCTTTTGACCTTACGTCGAATTAATAAATATAATGTCAGGGTTTTAGTATTAATTCTAGTTTAATCTATAAAGATACGAAGAAAAGGTACAACTTCGTTCTCTCAGCGTTAAACTAAGAAAAAATGAAAAATGTAAATACCAGTCTTCAGTAAACTAAAAACTTTATTGATATGTGTTATACACATCATAAAAAGTAGTTACATTTCAGACTGCACAGTGAAAAAACGCACAGGGTTTATCCCTTTTTAATCCCGGGCCAAAAAAAGTCTTGCATATTTGTCATTGAGGAGTTGAACAAAGACATCTAACTCATGCCAAGTAGTAAACTTTAAATAGTATGTTAATTCTCAATTAATTGTTTAATTAAACAATCATCATCTAGAAAAGTTTTACGAACTTGGTTTGAGATTGCGTGCCTATTGAATTGGTTAGGATGTCGTCATTTTGAGTTTTTCAAGACAATAACCATAGAGTAAAAATAATATTTTCTCTTGTATTTTGAAACTAATTCCTTTCAATCAGGGTCTGCCTTATTCAAAATAAAAAACTTTAGTCTGTAAAACGATTACCGCCATCACGCAGTAATCCTTTAGCTTTAACGGGAGATTCGATTAGTTGCATCAACATGATTAAGTACACCCTCTCGAATTATGAACACAGGCCAAGATAAAGACTTGAGATTACAAACAAAAGTTTAATAAATACAATACATCCATTTTTGCTTATACTTTTAAATATTAAATGATATAATGTTAAATGTAAAAAAAAAAAAAAAAAACATATATAAGATATTGCCTTACGTATATCTGGTCCCGTTTAAAACGTTGATGGAGATTGGCAATAAAAGCTTCTTCAGTAAGAGGGTCTAACAATGTGGCATCACTGACCCCAACTTCTTGATCCAAACTTAATACGCCCCTCGCATTCATAATGGACAATCAGGAGCACTGGAAAAAATGTATCTGATAAATATTTAATAACAAATAGAAAAAAAACAGTAAATTAAAAAATATATAGCTTTTCTAATCTTAATTTTTATTTTATAATTTTCTTTAACCCTTTTTACATTAAAAATTCTAACCTTTAAATATTCTTTAATTTTCCAAATACTGTATAGTAATTTTAAATGTTCAAAATAATCATTTTTTGTTTTGCGTAAATGTATTAAAAATAAATTAGTTTTATAAATATTTAAAATAAGATATTTATATTATAAAGTAATACACAACAAATAAGATACACAATAAAAATTATAAATGAATCATAAATAAAAAAATATTTTTAATAAAATGTTAAATATTCATTTGTATTAATATGCATTTGTATTATTTATTACTTACACGCTGTTATATTTAAAAACTATTTCTTATGTTTCTTTATTAGCGTGTCTGCCCAAGTTATATACGTTTTTTTTGCACTAAAATCTGCTCATCAAAAAGTATGTTTTATTGAAAATATACATTTCAATAATTTGTAGAAATATTTTTATAAATCAAGCACCACTGCATGCTTTTACATTTATTTGCGAATTATACATACTTTTGTTTATTCGATATATTATTTCTATAAGTTTTCGTCTCCAATTATTTCGCACTTTTTTTTAGCTCTTTCCGTCCTGTAGGCACTAAGAGAGCCTTTTTAGCAAGCCCATTATGGATTCGGCCAGACCCACATTGGAGCGGCCGAGTGGTGAGGGACGAACAAATCCCGAAAAATTCCGAAAAATGGAGTTTTTCGACCCGTCCGGATTTGATCCCAGATTTCTCAGAGCGAATTAACTGAAGTGATTAGATGTTCCATATTGTACGAGACTGTTCGTTATTTTGATCCTCTGTCCTATTGTCCCGATAGTTTTTGTCGGGATGCCAAAATGTCCCTTATTCCAAGACGTTGAGTGTCCGGCATTAAGAATAACAAAATCTGGTCAGATTACTTCAACCGCTCAACCAACCGACCGTCAACTTATGAGATTTAAATGATTTGCTTATTCATTGTTGTTATAAAATATTGCAAATTTACAATAGATTGAACAGATTAATGTGAATTTGGTGAATGAGATATCCGTTTAATTTATGATTGCCTATACAGGATATCATTTTAAATACTTAAAATATCAGATTTTTAATTTAAAGTAATTTTAAGTGTTAAGTTAATATGGACTACGAAAAAGAAAAATAAAACTGAAAACTCTATAACATAAAAGAAATATACGAAATACTGTATGTGAGGTTCTAAATTGACATTTGTGGCCAATTTCTTTATTTTTTAACAGTGTTTTTAGTACGTTCCTTATGTTTATGAAATTAATACTGTCTTCAATTTTCAACTTATGTCTTTAGCTTACAATTATACAGTAAATAATATACAGTATACCATTAGTCTGATCGTTAAGCGAAGAATTCCACTTAGAAGTACCTGGGATGTGTTTAATGCGATAATTCGGAAACGAAAATAGATAATAAAAACGAAATGTTGTCAATATACTCTTTACAATGTTTATAAATAACTGGTAAATTTTTGTATCAAAAATCGAATAATAATTTCACAAAATAAAGCATTTCAATTATTTGTTGTTGTTATAGCAAGGCACTACCTAAAGAATAAAACTTTCCAACAGAATGGCACCACTAATAAAGAAGAACTATTCATATATAGGCTATATAAAGAGTATAGTTCTACCTGAGGAAGGTATTTATCAATATCGAAATATAAGTTAATTAATAAAAGTTTCAATTATCGATTATTGTAGTAGTTTTTCATCGAGTTATTTTCTATGTGTTTTATAAGCCTTTATAACCATTAGTTTTTTTAACAGCTATTGCACTAAAAGTTTATGAACATTAAAATTATAACAAGTTGATTAATACAAAGTTTAAAGTTGTCCATATATAAGTACATTTATTGGTGCCAATAGTGAATGAAAACAAGAACAATCAATAAACGTTACATAAAGAAATCAGGAATACACCAATAAAAAAATTACAGTACACTAATTTCTAAGATTCCACAGTGAATTTTCCAAGGAATCTAAAGATGTCAGTATTTCCAATTTTTGGAGGCTGAGCCTATTTTGAACCGCTTTAATAAATTTCACAATCGCCACTAATTTGGCTAATATTCTTTTACTCTTTTGCGCTGTGAGCACTAAAAGGGCCTTTTTCAAGCATTCACAAGTTTGATCAGGCCCAAACAAGTTGCCGGATGGAAAGGGACAAGATCCGACTATCCTCGAAAAATTTTAGGGTTTTTCGATCCACTCGGATTCGATTCTGGGTCCCCAAAATGGCAGCTGATGTCTTAACTGTCTTGGTCATTCGGTCAGCCGAAAAAATAAGTGTTTGACGGTACCTACAACTGTGTACACTCAAATACTATCTAAAGGTCAAATCCGGTCAAATAATCGTGTGTATTACACATTAATATGTGTATATTTTTGGTAGAGGTTTTATTAATTTTAAATGTTATTGTTTGAAAAAGTATCGATTATTAAGGGCTAACTTTATCGATACATTGAAATATCGAATGCCAAGGCACAACCTTAACAGAGACATGATATTTAACAAACATTTACTTTGAATGTTTCAACGAGACAACAGAATAACAACGGGGATATCAGATTATATAGCTATTGGTCACATCAATAATCGTATCTGGATTCAATTAATGTCGAGACGAAAAGCGATTCTATCTTATTCCGAAATTGAAAGCTTCAACGATGCAATAAGAATGTATTCAACTAATGAACAACTTAGTGTTTAACAAGTCAAAAACTTTCTGTTGCTGAAATAGTAGTTGAATGTAATGACAACATCGCTAAACAAACTTCAGATGAGCAAGTGAAGGCCCTACTTCAATTCTTTACTTAACGATTGGTTACAGAGTGATGGTAAGAAAAAAATACTGGACTGACACTGGATTATTTAATAGCGTTTTTAGTACAATAATTGACGTTATATATAATAAAGACAGAAAACCGCCTTCATTGTCTATTTGTGTAAAATTTGATAGGTATACCTGCCCCTGTCTATATGAAGTTGCTTTTTCTATTTCGCCATCATAACACCGATAGAAAGATTATAATCATGACTGCTCGTGTCGATAGTTACCATTGACAATTACGTAATTCAAAACATCTAAATTTTTTAATGTTAACTCTAACGCACCATTCACGCCGAATATGAAATGGCAATCGACCTATCAAATTTCGCAAAAAAAAAAAAATAAAAATAAAAATAAAAAATGGACAAAATATTTAATCTTGGCATCCTCGAAAACACTCTAAAACATTTTGTGCTCGCTATAACTTCGTATTAAGTAATTTTCCTATTCGAAGACACCATTCCTACGAGGGCCTTTTATGGACGATGAGTTGAAGTAAATTCGACCAAAAATAGTTGTTGATCTCTTCCTGAATAAGTGGACTGTCCCTTAAAAGTTTTATTGAATTTGTTCTGTGTCGAAATGAATAAAGAACAAACAAACAATTTTTCTTCTTTATACAGTACTGTATATTAGATATATATCTGTAAACTTCTTTATTTAAAAATATGCAAAACGTCACAAGAAACTGAGACTATCCTCAAAAATATTTTTATTAATAAACATGGAAAAAACACAAACCGATATAATAAACAATTTAAAAGAGATCTGATATTAAATATTAGAATTCTATCCTTATTCACTGCGCTTTTATCATTAAAGCCTTAAATATTTGACTGATTGGTAAATGATCATCATCGGTGATGGATTATCTTATAGCCAAATAAAATGGTTTACTTCGCGCCCTTGAAGTTAAGAATCAAAATAGAAACAATTATAATCTAAATCTCATTTATAAATATTAAACATAACATTCAAAGGGCACCAAAATTAATTCGCGCTTAGATCGTCCAGTATGTTGTTTCGTCATTGATTATCGGATTGCTTTATTAATTACACGAAGTGTCTTCTCACATTGTAAATTAAAATATTTTTATACCTTTGTTTTAAATTGTAATTATTATATTATACAGCAAATCAGAATATAGGCCTATTATAAAATGTTACACAATATGATATGAAAAGCATTTAAGAAATTGCTATTATTTCTTTTTATAAATTATTATCATTTAGATATTTTTAATGTACATATATTTTCCCTACAAACAATTGTATTAATAGAATTTTCACAATTAATATCATCGAATATAGAAGTAATTAGATTTCTAATTATTATTATTATGTTGAGTTTAGTGAGTTTTACTCGGTTCACACCGGTGGCTGTGTACTATGCCGGACCAGAGTCAAGGCATAGCAACCAAAACAAAACTAAAATTAAATAAGTGTGTCAGTGTCTGTATTCAGGAATTTCCTAACAATGTGGCATGTATTCAATATAGTGGCCTTCTGTAGTGTTATGTATGTATTTCTACTCAATTCTAATGTTCCCAGGCTTTTGTGTAGTGTGTGTGGTATCACACCTGTACAGGAAAGAACAACAGGTACAATAACTACCCTATCCATCCTCCATAGATGCCTTATTTCCTGGGCAAGTTCTGTGTACTTGCTAATTTTTTCAGTGCATGTGTTTTGTACATTGTGAGTGTTTGGAATGGCTATGTCTATAATGTATGTGATTTTATTGTGTTTGTCAATGAGTGTGATGTCTGGTCTGTTGTGGTAAATTGTTTTATCTGTGATTATGGCTCTGTCGTAATACATTTTGTGCGTGTTATTTTCCAATACTGTCTGTGGAATATACTTGTAGTATGGTTCGTGGATGTCTGCCAATTTGTGTTTCTTTGCAAGCTCTTGGTGTATTATATTTGCTACTTGATTGTGTCTATGTAAGTAATCTGTCTGTGCCAAGAGCTTGCAACCAGAAGTGATGTGTTGTATAGTTTCTGGCATGATGTGACATTTTCTGCATGTGTCATTTGTGAGTGTTGTATCTTTGAGTATGTGTTTT